TGGAAGGGTGGTGGGAACGAGGTCCACAGTTTTCCTGCTGCTTGTAAGATGAAGGCCATTCACTGCTCTCCTTGGCTAATTGCCCTTCCTCCATTTTCAAAGTGATCAATAGCAAGTCCAGTCTATTTCATATCACATTCTTCTTCTTCCATCATTTTTCCCTTTTAAAAACTCATGTTATTAGGGTAATCTCCCCATCTCCAGATCTGTACACTTCATCTAACTGGAAAGTTCTCTTTTGTCGTAGCATATTTATAGGTTCTGGGCATTGGGACATGATTATCCTTGGGGAAACAATATTCTGCCTGTAACACAGGTCCTATATATAGATATAACCCTATGTCAAACAGTTTACCAGATTTTACCCATTCTTATCATTAGACAACATTTTGCCAGCAAATTAGTCTGGACACAACTAGCCCAGGTGCCTAGAAATATTTCACAATGACTAGAGCATCCTTTATCTTCAAATTTTATTTATACCTTATAATTATTAAGTGAAGATACCTGAATCATATGTCCACCAATGAAAATTAAGTACATTTTATTGTAAATAAATATAATGTAGAGCTATTATAATCAGCTCTACTGCAAAATTCTTACTGAAAAGATGAAAAAGTCTTTGCTAATATTCTTAAGTTTCCTTTCTAAACTATGTTTTTCTAACTTCCATTAAAAAATTCTATATGCTGCAGGTATCAAATTTTAAGTATGACACTGTTAAGACTTAATGCAAATTGAGTTGTTTTCTCCAAAAATCTCAGAGTGCTATTATTTGCTTCCTTAGGCAGACCTTCTCAGCATGTCAGCCACCCCCCACGTTTTTTTTTTTTTTTTTAGATGAGGGCTATTTCTCAAGATAGATATGTTGAAGGAGAATATCTTAAAGATGGGATTTTTTTGTAGGTGATAACTACTGAGTCACATATTTTCTTGCACACCTGTGTCAGAAATATTTTAGTTGAAAAAATATAACCTTCAACTATTTTCTTTCTCTTTGCCTTCATAACTTGGTATAGTACTGAGATTTTTCATACTGCTTCTTCATATTGATTCATCACTTATAAGACTGCAGCAAAAATGAAAAAACTGTGGATTTTCAAAGTCAGAAAGATTAGTGCTTAAAATTTAACACTACCAATTACTAGCTTGCACAGTTAGTTAAATTGAGAGTCAATTCAATATTATTATCTCTAAATTTGAGATAATACATATTTGTAAGATTTGACAATTGGGGAATATTCAGAACGCCCACAGATACCAAAATTCACAAATGCTCAAGTCTCTTATACAAAAATTATGTATTATTTGCATGTAACTTACATACATCCTCCCATGTACTGTAATTATCTTAGATTATTTATAATACCTACTACAATATAAAGACTATTAATGTTTAATAGCATTTAAAAAACAAATAGTTGTTATGTGTTTATTTGTCTTATTTTTTATTTTTTTCTGAGTATATATTATCTGTGCTCATTGAATTTGTGGATGTAGAACCTGCAAATATGGAAAGTCAACTGAATCTGATAACAGATGTAAATTATGAAGGAGAAGTCAGTGCGGGCCTGGAGTTGATACTCGAGATTATTTAAACTCCAAAATATCGCATTCCATAATGTGTATCTTTTTTTAAAACCAGTTCCACTACAAATTATATTGGCAATACCTTTGCTAATTCTTAAATGCTTTGATCATTTCTCTAATACTTTTTGACTTGGATCAAACTCCTGCGGGGTCTGGTCTATGCCTAACATTTCTAAATTTTATTCACAGTCTATTTAATATTAGACAGATATTAGAATTACCAGCTATAAACTTTACAAATAAGCAAACTAAGATTCAGTGAAATGAAGTAACATTTTCCAGGATAGGAAAGCTACTTGCTGGCAAAGCAAGAGCTGAAACACAATTCGAACTCACTGAGAAGTTCCCCTTTGAACACACTATTAAAAAAAAAAAAAAATTCAGGCCTGGGCGTGGTGGCTCATGCTTGTAATCCCAGCACTTTGGAAGATTGAGGCGAGTGGATCACGAGGTCAGGAGTTCGAGACCAGCCAGGCCAATATGGTGAAACCCCATCTCCACTAAAAATACAAAAATTAGCTGGGCATGTTGGTGCGTGCATGCCTGTAAGTCCCAGCTACTCGGGAGGCTGAGGCAGGAAAATCACTTGAACTGGGAAGGCGGAGGTTGCAGTGAGCCGAGATCGCACCATTGAACTCCAGCCTGGGCAACAAGAGAGAAACTCCATCTCAAAAAAATAAAATAAATAAAATAAAATAAATAATTTTATTAGTAATCACATATGGTTATTTTTTTATTTGTCAAGCAATTTTGAAGATACAAAACCCACAATAGAATAATGAGGCTCATATGAATAGGACATATTGTAGTAGATAATTTGTTTTAAAAAAATTTTTAATCACAACGTAAGATATGTTCCCTGAGTTTTTATCCATCATTAGCACAAAGACATTATTATCATTCCAGCAGTCCTGGGACAAACTGTTAGAGTGATTTTACCTAAAACCAGGACACATAGGAAATGGAGCTTAGTAAACATTTGAGTTACATATCATAATTGAAATAATATATTCTAGATTAAAATAGATTAATGAAGACAAAAAAAAACTAACAAGTTTTGACAGATCATGAAATAAAGATTAAGCCTAAACAATGTCTGAAGAAAGGATGTGTAAGCAATGATAATAAATAATATTGACAGTAACAATAATCATGGTAACAACCAATACTATATGTAATGCTTACTATGTGTCAATCACTGATATAAAAATATGACTATTTCTATCAGCCCTTACCACTACACTATGAAATAGACAATATTATTATTTTCATTTTATAAACATAGACCAAGACAGTGAAAGACATAGAGAGTACGTACATCGGCCAAAGTTTTGACTAGTTTTAAATAAACGAAATCAACATCATGAGAATTATTACCCTTAATCAGTATGTTCTATGCAATATGAAAAGAATAAAGCCCTATAGCAAGCATGTGCAGTGTTCAGTGTGGAGAGAAAATGAATCTTGGAAACACAAATACCCTCAGCAGAGTTACATGCAGAGTGGTCCAATAGGCCCTAAATACTTTGAATGAATTTTCCATTTACATTTTCCATTTCCTTTTGCTCATAAACGCCCGAACACTGAAAAATAGTGAGTAGGCAACAGTTCATATTTAATTGAGAAAATACTACCCTGGCTGTCAATGGCTACCTAGCCAACATAGAGGTAATATATTGATAAACATTTCTTGGGGTTTTTTTTGTTGCTTTTTTTGGGGTTTTTTTTTTTTTTTTGTTGTTTTTTTTTTTGAGATGGAGTCTCGCTCTGTCACCCAGGCTGGAGTGCCGTGGCACAATCTTGGCTCACCGCAAGCTCTGGTTCCCAGGTTCACACCATTCTCCTGCCAAGAAGCTGGGACTACAGGCGCCCGCCACCACACCCAGCTAATGTTTTATATTTTTTAGTAGAGGCGGGGTTTCACCATGTTAGCCAGGATGGTCTCGATCTCCTGACCTTGTAATCCACCCTCCTAAGCCTCCTAAGGTGCTGGGATTACAGGCATGAGCCACCACACCCGGTGATAAACATTTCTTGAACACTAATCCAAAGATATATATACACACACATATATATATGTGTATGTGTGTATATATAGTGTGTGTGTATATATGTATAATTTTATGGTTCTTAATGTCTTTGTATATTGTGTGTGTTGTCTTTTTTTTTTTTTTTTTTTGAGATGGAGCCTTACTCTGTCGCCAGGTTGGAGTGCAGTGGCGCGATCTCAGCTCACTGCAACCTCTGCCTCCAGGGTTCAAGTGATTCTCTCACCTCAGCCTCCCAAGTAGCTGGGGTTACAGGTGCCCACCACCTGCCTGGCTAATTTTTGTATTTTTAGTAGAGACGGCGGTTTCACCATGTTGGCCAGACTGGTCTCAAATTCCTGACCTTCTGACCCACCTGCCTCAGCCTCCCAAAGTGCTGGGATTATAGGCATGAGTCACCGCGGCTGGTCCTTTTTAAAATATATTGGTATTTATGTACAATGTTGTGGTATGAAAACTTTCTTAGAAGTAAAATTCTGGAAATGGCTTATAAGAGGATTTTATTTTTCAATTTTGAACTGTCCTGATGGAATCCTACAAAATTATATTGGTCAAAGGACACTTGAATAAAGTATCCTCAAAAATTATCTATGTTTATTGGGTGAAGATTGCCCCCCCCAAACAAAAATTAGGGACACATACCTACAGAATATGTGGGATATAAAACTTATGTCATTAATAAAACCCTCCTGGTCTACATTTTTGAATACTACTCCTACATGACAAAGTAGATTATTCAGAATGTTATAAGTCTCTGGAATATTTGAGTCACAGTGTACACTAGCCACAGCTTAAGCGGCCAAAAAGAAAAAAAAAATTAGAAAGAAGCCTGTTAAGTCTAGGAGATTCCATTTGTACAAGAATTCCTTCTTGGGGAACCACAGGTAAAAGTAGAAAATGAAATAAAATACGAATTACAAAAGGGGAATGCCAAAAGCAGTTTATGACTCGCTGTAGTAAACAGTCCTTTAGCCATGCTCAAATTGTTCCCTTTCTCTTTAGTGTTTTTTAAACCAGCAAAAAAGATTGGTAAAGGAACTTTAGAAGTGAGAGCTGTTTGCACTAATGAGTCTCTTGATGCTGTCCCAGTGATGGGCATGGCAGAATTCCATCAATAAAACATTAAGATAAAGGACCCACGACCCTTCAGGTAGCAGCCAAATCTCATTCCAGGGACTTGCATTTTGTGTCAATTAAAGAATAGACTTCAAGAGGTGAAACTCACTTTACTCAGGCTTGTGGGACACCTCTGGCAAACATTAGCACAACAATCGCCATCTTTTTTGCAATTCTCAGGTCTGTGTGCAATGACTATCTCTCTCATTTCTCACTGGTGTACTGTTGTTCTAATTTACTCACCAGGACTTGCATTTACATCCTAACTGAGCTTGTTGGACACTGAAATGGAGTAAGACACAAGCCATTTTCAAACCTGTATTTCCTCTCTTTATAAGTAAGCCTCAATTCATTTTTTTTCTTTGCTTCCATCAGGAGAGTTTCAAGACAACTCTGTGAGGTAAGATAACTTTTTTTTTTTTTTTTAATGAAACAATGCTTCTATAAGTAAATTTAAATTCTGGGTGCCTTCCAGGGCAATCTCTTTCTCCAATGTTTGGTTCTTGAATTTCAGGAAAACCAACAGTGTAAAAAGTAGTAGGGCCACCCACTCACTCCGATTTTTTTTAAAATTTGTTACAGCAGCAAATTATTCTATAATGTAAATATTAGAATGGAATTTGCAGTGAACATTGGTATCTTTCTTCATTTCTCATTACACTTAAATTAACTAAAGGGTTTTTGTTTAAAGCATCCCTTCTCTTGAGGAAAATGTAGGTAGAATTATAAAACCTTGTGGTTTTACATATGGGACTTTCTTTCACTTAATTTACATTAAGCTGCCACATTTATGTCTTTAAAGAATAAACAAATTTACATTTTTGCATACAACTTGCCTCATCAGAAAAAGCTTTAATATTCAGATATGTGTAATTTGTCTTTGCTGTCACATTAGTTTAGGATGTGATTTACCTGCCTTTTCTAAGATATTTAAGTTATACCATGATTAAATAAACATGAAGGTGATAGACCAGTGGAACATTTTAATCTCAAGAAGAAAACAGGTGCACAAATGTTAGACAGCACCCCGCTCCCACTCACCCTGCAATATACCAAATTCAAGTATTGCCCATGATAATATTCAACCTCCACCCTGTTCCCCAGAGGCATGGCACTGCCAGGAGCAACCTCTAACTAGCAATAGGTCCTTTTACCTCTGACACTTCCAAAGGCCTGGTCACCATAAGCAAGCTCGTGTTTTCTCTCTTGCCTGATTGCTCCAGTTACAAAACAATGTGAGACTTGGGAACTTTAGAGCAAGAAACAGTGCCTTTGTTATCACCTCTATTTTACATGTGATGGAATGCATTTCATCTAAGCACCAAAGATGCCGAGTAATTTATCTGAGTTGAATAGTCATTTGGGGCAGAACCGAGTTTAGAAAACGTATTTCCTAATTTTCAGAATAGAACATCTTCTAATATATTGTTCCGTGTTTTTGAAATTTAGAAAAATGATTAGATTAAATGATTTTTTTGTGAGTGGATTAGAGACCTGAGCAGGATGTAAATAGACAATAAGAATAGAAGGCAATCCGTTAAAGACCCAAAATAGTTCTTCACAAATCAGAAGACAACACCCCTTCAGCCTCTATAATAACAGAATGTGAGGAATCTTTCCATTCAACTTCCTTTTCAGATACTAGGAAACAAAAATTTAGATTCAGGAGAATGACTTCCCCCAGTCATGCCTTCAAAAAATGTTGTTTTATTGATTACCCACTCTGGGCCTTGCACATAACATATCCCCCAGTACATTAGGAACCAGAGATATCAATGCCTCATCTGTGTTTTGCTGGGAATATAGCTCTAAACAAAGTAGAAATAATTCTTGTGCTCACAGTATCTTTTGTCTAATTGAAGGAGAGAAAGAGTAAAGATGCATTTATGAGTAAATATCTACTTATGAATTATAGCTATGGTAGGTTTTAAAAAAATAATTACAAGTTGAAATGAGATATGAAGGGGGTTGCCAGAGGAGGCCTAAAGATTATGAAAAGCTAATTTTGAACAACGACAGTTGAACTAAAATTTAAATAGACCTAAAAACCTAAAATTTAAATAGAAATTGGGTAGGTCAAAACAAAAGAAAAACAAAAACTTGAGTGAATGATAGGAACGTAGTCTAAGCAGAGAGAGAAAGCAATGTCAAACCTGCAAATTGTAAGGAAGACAACATAATTGAAGAAGTGTAAGAAGACAAAGAAAGCTTGAGAGTTTTGAGATAGGTGGATACTATCAGAATATATTGGTAATGAGTGCAAAGGCCAGTCTGTGTAAGACCTTATTTCAAAACTAGGTCCTTTAAGTCCCATTCCGTAGCTATGGTTTGTTAATTCGTAAAACTATTTTTCTTTTTTATGCAACATGCCATAGAAAAAATTTGGAACTCAAAGGTACTTTACATTTTCATGTATTCCACACATCAATCTGGTGCTTTTCTTGCAAACTTTCATTTTGATTGTGTAATCAAAACTATTGGCAGATATGGCCAGCTAAGTAGAGTCAAGGAAATTACACTACATTACATCAAAACATGATGCTCTCAGCCAGCATACAGTCCCTTATCATCAAACAGTTTGCAGTGAGCATATATTTTGCAAGTTTCACCATCTCAATCTGTATTTGCCCTCAAACCTTCCTCAGGCTCTGTCTACACTGTCAAATTCAGAGTTGAGCAATCACCCTGGGAAAGGTATCAATGGAGAGAGTTTAGGTCAAACGAGTCCCCTTTTCCCAGATTCTACTCTATAATAGCCTCATGCCTCCTCTTCAATTTGCCTGCATAAACAGAGCCTTAGGGCAACTGTGAGACTAGCAGGTACTCTAAACGTGCCTCAAATAATATTACAGATTTTGAGGTCTTGTCTACAAAGCATATTTGACCCATAATATTTCAACACTGAAAGAGAGGAAAGAGAGATTCTATCCTAATTTTGTTTTGTTATATTTGAAGAAACTGAGGCTTATTCAATCATTAGTGCTATTACATGGTAGCACAGAGACACTCCTTGGAGGGAGCAGAACTGAATACAAATAGTCTGGCCCTTGATTCAGAGGGTTTCCCCTGTGCTTCAGTACATTGTGACCGGGATCCATTCATTCCAACAACCATTTAGCAAGTACTTAATATTTTCCAATACCTGTAGGGCTTCTGCAAGATGAATAATCAAAGCGAATCATAGTTTATTTCAAGCAGGAATTGTGCTCAGTGATTTACATGTAATTCTTCTAATTGTCACACTATGGTTAGGCAAGAGAAAGGATTATTAACCCCATTCTGTATAAGAAGAGAATGAAGATTTAATGTTTAAATAACTTTTCTTGAAATGACACACCTGTTTGGGTGGAGCATAAAATTTCATCCCTAGCCTGAAGTCTTAAGCATTATGCTATTCTGTCTCACAAGTAATGATTTGGGTGTTATATGGGGAAAATAATTTTAACTTATATATTTAATTTAATCAATATGTTCTGACTCCTGCTATGCATTTGGGATTATGTTTCTTGCTGAGGGTGCTGTGTGGGAAATAATACACATAATTCTAATGTTTATAAAGTGTATCAGTCCAGTAGGTGAGAACTATATTTAAAAATTATTAAGTACTAAGAGTACTTTTAATTGTATTTTAATTGTAATCTGAAGTACTAGGGATTAACGGGAGGCACTGTAAAACAGGATAACAACTTAAACAGTGGTGCCCAGGAAATTGTTGTCGAGATCAGGCTTAAGAGTTGACAACATGAAAGCGAAGTGAAGAAAATTAGAGGTAGAAAGAACAAGGGTGGGTGCAAAGGTGTTGGATTGAAAAACAGCTGGATGCATTCCAGGCATAGAAATGATCAATGTGATCCCAATGTATCAAAAAAAGGGACCAGTGCTGCAAAATTGGCTGAAGAAAAAGACAAGGCATAGCCACTGAGAGATTTAGGTCCTTCTAGAAAATGTGATGTGACTAAGGGAAATTTTAGTGGGACGGTACCATGACAGGATTTATGTTTTCAGAAGAATATCTTGATTTTTATGCAACAGAGATTATAGAGGTGCAAGAGTGAAACAGTCCAAGTGGTGACATTTCATTCATTGACTGCCATATTGGCAACGTGGAGTACAAATAGAGAAGGGCACGCGTGTTTGACGAGGCTGCAGAAATCACTGCCATTTAAATATTGTGGAAAGAATGGGGCGTGTTTACTCTTGAAAAAGAGACCAAGGGGAAAGCAGGCCTTTTTAAAGAGAGAATAGAAACAATGAGATGAATTTCCAAGGAGACATATGTCAACTCAGTATGTCAGAGTCATTATTATATGGAGAGATAGTCAACGATATAATAGTGAGTTCTCTGCCCCCGAATATATTCAAGGAGACTTTACACGTTTTTACTTATTGGATATTGTAGAGCTGATGCTATTACTGGAAGGAAGTTTTGGGCAAGGTGTGCTCCTGCGAAATTGAATGCTAAGATCCTTCCTTTGCTTTATAAAGCTGAATTTTGAGCAACCTATTACTAGAGATGAAATAGCATAATTTGTTTCTGTGTATAATTCTGATGAAATTGTTAAATCTTATTTACAATGTGAGGGCCTACCTACCTTCAGAAACTTGCATGAATTTTTTGGCACAAAAGTTATGACTGCTCATGCCTGTAATCCCAGCACTTTGGAAGGCCGAGGCGGTTGGATCACGAGGTCAGGAGTTCAAGACCAGCCTGGCCAAGATTGTGAAACCCCTGTCTTGACTAAAAATACAAAAATTAGCTGGGCATGGTGGCAGGTGCCTCTAATCCTACCTACTCAGGAGGCTGAGGCAAGAGAATCACTTGAACCCAGGAGGCGGAGGTTGCAGTGAGACCAGATTGTGCCATTGCACTCCAGCCTGGGCGACAGAGTGAGACTCCATCTCAAAAACAAAAAACAAAACAAAACAAGTCATGACTGACTCAATTCAGCTGGGTATCTGCCTGTAAGTGGTAACCAGCCACATAACAGCATAAACTGTGTGTAAAGAGCTTCCATTTAAAAAGATTTGCCACTCTTTCTGTTTCTATTCTACCAGTGATTATGCAAATAGCAAGACTGAAAATATTTTTATTATTAGTTGTAAAAATAACATGAAATATTATCTAGAAACTCAAATGCAAAGTAAATGTTTTGTGCCTGTGCTTTGGTTCAGTTTTCATAAGCTCTTTCACTTGGTCTATCACAGACTCACAGACTTCAGTGTGCCCTTCCTTCTCTGTCCTGTTTTGTCTACTATGCCCTACTCCTCCTTCCTCCTTATAACTGCTAGTGTGATCCTTATTATGCGCACCCCTCCTGTGCTTTCCACATGTTTAAGATACACATACACAGTAAATTTGTTTTCATTGCTGCAAAGTAAAGCTTATATAGTTTTACCTT